GTCTGGCTGGGCCTGGTTTCCCCAGGGCAGAGTTGCCTCTTGCAAGGGCACCGTTTGCAATACCACCTGCTTAGAGCAGGTCAATGTACGAGCAAGAGGGCGAAAGCTGGGATATAAATATATCCATATGGACTGACTGACTGACTGACTGACTCACTCACTCACTCACTGGGCAGCTCCCCAAGCAACGCTCCCCCTCAGCCCAGTCCCACGTCCAGTGACGCCTGGAGGAAATTCCCCCACAGCTCACCTGTGAGGGGGATGCTCCTGTGCCCCCAAGCGCCAGGGAAGGAGGAGAAGGGGGTGCGGGGGGGGGTCTCTGCTGAATGGTCAGGCCAGCTTAGGAGCTTTCTTACATCTTCATTATTCACATTTTATTAGTTTTATGCCCGTGCTGACCAATAGCCAAGGTTCTCTGTGCGCTTTGCAATACATGGATACGACAGTTGGCTACTTGCAGGTTTTATGCACTACCCAATCGTTATGAAATCTCGGGACAGCTTTCAGGTGGCTTACAGGAAACAGCAACAGCAGCAACAACGGGGTTGCCACGCAAGACAAGCAGGCCAAACCCCAGCCCCTTGACGGAGGGCTCCAGGCCTCGTGGAAGCCGAGGGAGCGCCGGGACACACCGGTCCGCCGCAATCCCGAGGGGCCGTCCCCCTTGCTGCTGCTGCTGCTGCTGCTGCTGCTGCTGCAGGGGCCTGTTATTCGAGGTGGGGGCCCTGCCCGCGCCTTTCTGGGGGTGGGGAGCTCCAGTGGGTGCTTGGGGAGGGGCTCTCCATCCCACCCACCAGAAGATTCTGGAGGGGCTGAATCTGAACCTGGCCCTCATGGGCAAGGGAAAGGAGGGGCGCCTCTGGAGCTTTTCCGAGGGAAACATGCAGGGGTCAAGAGCAGAGCGGCCTGGGAGGGACCCTCTCCTCGCATCCGCCTCGGGCTTGGACCAGCTGCTGGTCTTTGTGTCTCTCCACCAGCCCAGAGCCAAGCTCCCTGGGAGGGACGTGGGAGGAGTCCCGGAGAGCAGCCGCCGGGAATCGAGGCCCCGCAGCCGCCGTGCAAGCAGCACCCCTCTCCCGCGCCGCCGCGCGCCGCCGCCTCGGTCTGCCATGCACACGCGGGGGGAGAGGGCGACCGGCTCCTCTCCCCCGGCTGGACTCATGTCCCGAGACGGAGCCCATCGCAACAGGGAGCCTGCGGAGGCGAGAGGGACGGAGTCCGTGGAGCTGCATCCCAACCTCGCTCTCCGGACCAGTGGAAGCAGTTCATCAAACAGACATTCAAGCAAAACACCACAAATGTTTTCCAAAGTATGAACATGAAAACACGGTAAAAACATTTAAAACAACCTAGAACGTGGAGCAGCCCAATACCTGGGATGGAGAATCCCCTGCAGCCATTACATGTTGCAGGGTGTCTTCAAGCACCTTGGCTTGGAGCGGTGTCTGACCCTAACACTGAAAGAACAAGGTTGGGGCCAGGGGGGCCCCAACAGGAAGATCACTCCGCGGCTGGGGGGCTGCCACTAAGAAGGCCCTCCCCCTTGTAGCTCCCCCCAGGCATCTGTTGGCGTTGGCATCAAGAGGAAGGCGCCAGATCTCGCTAAGGATGCTGGATTCTGCTGAATGAGGCGGACCAAAGGCTTGACAGATGGGCTCCTTTGCTGGCCTGATGGGAGGTGTAATCCAGCACACCCGGAGGGGGCCAGCCTGGGGAAGAAGGCATCGCTAAAGCAGATACAAGAGAGTAGATCCGTTGCGGTAGGTTCTGTTTTTAGCTACAGAGGTCTTCTCCTTCCCACCACAAAATGCAAAGCAAGACAGGTGCATGGGGTTTATTTTATTTTATTTTATTTGTCATGTCCAGCCCAGCCGGCTGGAGGAGAGCAGCGCGTCCTCATGATGGGACCCCCGACCTTGGTCCAGTGCGCCACACCAGAGAAGGGGGCGCCCGCCCCTCCAGACGGCCACCCTTCCTAGGGCAGGAAAGCGGGACCTCACCTCCCCGGGGTGATGCCACAATGAGGCTGTGACTTCACGCTGCCCCTTTACAGAGGCTGGGAGGCTGCTGGGCGCCTTTTGGCTGAGCTTGAGGAGAGAGAGCTGCTGCTACAGCTTCTTTCTTGACGAGAGCTGCTTTCTTCTGCTGATCTGACAGCGAAGGTCGGTCTCAGCTGAAGGGGGTGTCTAATTTCCCCAAGAGAGCAATCCCATGCCGGGTTGGAGAGGGGAAAGTCCCACAGGGAGCAGGGGGACGTTTTTCCTGTCCCGACAGGCATGGAAGTCTGCCCTGAAGGAAGTAGCGGGGAGCTCTATCAACTGTTGGATTGATTTTACAAGAATTCCCACACCCTCCCATGGTGGTGGAATTACTGGAATGGCGCTTGGACAGCGCCAGCGGTTCTCCTTCCAGGGACCTGGAGTTTCTTTCCATTGTGAGGGCTCCATTTTGGAGGGGGTGCCGTAATCGAGGGGAGAAAACCCCCTACAACTTGCAAAGCCCCTTTCCCTTGGCACCTGAGGAACTATGGCGGTGGCTGCTTAGCGTAGGCGCGTCCGACCCATCGCGGCCCATAAACAACACTCCTCTTGGCCGTCCTGTCCCCCACCATCCCGCGGAGCCCACCGAAGCTCAGCCGGCCGCTGCAGGGACTCCATGCAGCCCCCTCGTCCTCTGCTGGCCGCCGGGCGGCTGGCGCTCCTTCCCGACGAAAGCAATCCCTCCAGGGGCTACTACAGATGTCTTCGTCCTAAAGAGCGTCACGGTGCAGTCACTCGGGCGGGAAAGTCGCCCTCTCGCTCCCACTGAGTTCCGCCCGCACTGGGGCCGCGAACCCTTCGTGGCCGCCCCTCCAGGGGCCAAGCGCCGGGACGCCCCTCCTGGGGTCGCTCGCGCCTCTCGCTCACAGCTGCCCCCGTCCGTGCGTGCGCCTGCGAGCAGCGGCATCCCCGAAGGCCGCTTGCCCGTCATCGCCTCGGCTCGCACCTCCCACCTCCGCAGCGGGCGAGACTTCCCCCGCCTGCCCCCGCGCGGCCCCCTTACGCGCCTCGTCCCGGCCTCTCCCTGAGCCCCCTTGCCCGGCTCAGCCTCAGCCCCCTCACCTTTGCAGCTGGGAGTCAAGCCCGCTCCGCGGACGCCAGAAGCGGCTCGCCATCGGCACCCTGGTGCACGCGGACGCGTCCTCCCCTCGCGCGCTTCAGGGGCGCTTCTGAGCATGCGCCCAAGGCACCACGACCCCCCCCCCCCCCGCACGCTCGAGGCCGAGGCTGCTTCCCGCCCGCCCGCCCGGCCGGCGTGTGAGGAAGCGAGCGGGGAGGCGACGCGGGAAGTCGGGGCAGGCGCGCTCCCCACGGGCTGCCCAGCGCCCTCCGGAGGGGCCTCCCTTCCGGTGCCCCAGGGAGTGCGCGCGTCCCCTGTGGCCCCGCGGCGCCAGGCCGGCCTCACCCCAGAGCCCTCCTCGCCCCCACTTCAGACGAATGTCCCCGCTCTTCTCTTGGGAACAGACCGCGCGAAACGGCTCCGTTGGCCCGGCGGATGGGGCGGTGCAGGCGGCCATCTCGTGCAGCCCACGGGCGGCGAGTCGGGAAAGGGCGGCTGGATGGATCCCTGGCTGGAAAAGGGCAGGCGGGGGGGCGGTGGCCCAGCCCCGTGCCTGAGGTCTGGGCACGACACTGGCGCTGGCCGCAACGGCGGCTCCGGGGGGGGCACTGAGGGCCGGCCCACCTTCCTCGTGAGCCAGCTGTCCCGTGCCCACCCAGGCAAGCCCTGCAGTGGCTGTTCAAGAGCCTTTACTCCGTGAAGCGACGCAGCATCCATGTACTTCAAACTTTTGTTTTAAAACCCCTCTGGGGAGCATCTTCACAAGCTCCAGAACACACTCAAGGCAGAAAGCTGGCCTGTCGCCCTGACCCTGGTCACCCCAAACTGTGCTTATGAGCCCTCCCAGGCCGGTCTCTGGAGGGAGGTGCACCCTGGACCCCGCAAAGCCTCACTGGCCTGCACAGGGCCAGTATCAGAGGGGGAACCCTCAGCCGCCATTGGGACAACCATCGCCCCCCCCCCGAGCGCTGGCAGTCGTGCAGAAGGTCCCCGCTTGGCTCATGGCCCCCAGTTGGCCAGAGAAGGAGGAGCCCCTGCCCTGGGGCGCCCCAACCACCCGCAGCCGTCTCCTGCCTAGCCGTGCATCAGAAGGTGCTTCAACCCAGCAGTTGGCTTGCTTTTTGCAGAATGAGCAACTTCCGTACATTCCAGATGAAGAAGAACAGAGGAAGCGAGTCCTCCTCCGAGGAGAATGGCTCATGGGATGACGAGGAGGCCCACTTCTCCGGCCACCCGCCACCCAGCCCTGCCCCGGGCCACGCCACTCGGAGGACATCGCGCATCCTGCCGCTGCTGGTCCAGTCCACGGCAGGGGCCACCGACCCCAAGAAGAAGGCCCAGCCGGTGGCCCTCCCCGAGCTGGTGCAGCGCCCCCTGGACCAGCCCGATGGCCGGCGCCCGGATCGTGCCCCCGGCAGGGCAGCCCAGCAGCAAGCCTCGCTGCCAAGAGTGTCCGGCCGGGAGAGGATGAGGAAAGGCGCCGCCGTGCCCGTGAGCGGGCAGCCCGACACCCCCATGCCGCTGCACCCAGGTACTGGGGGGAGGCCGGGCGGTGCCGGACACGGGGGACCTGGCCCTCAGGCCCACGGGCCTGGCAGGGGACAGCTGCCGACATCTGCACAGGGGCAGTGCAGGCAATGGGAGGATTCGTTTTTGGGGGACCCCGCAGCGGGAGGGAGAGGGGAAGCACCCGTGCACCCAAGGCCGGCTGCTGCAAGGGCCTCACACCCGGGAGGGTCCCCAGGAATCCGCTCCCCGTGGCTGGCAGGGTGATGGGGAGGCGCACCCCGTGGAGGTGGCTGCAAGAGCAGCTGGCAAGCGATCGCTTCAGCACGGCCCCCCCCTTGGGTGGGGGCTGGAAGGGGCCCCAGTGTCAAAAATGCAGGAGGGAAAGCCGGTGCTTGCCCCACTGCAGACCGTGTCAGGTGGAGCATCCGGAGCGCCGGAGCTGACCTCGCTCGGTGCCAGCCAGCGGCGACGGGGCTTCTCCCCTGCTTGGCCCTGTTGCTCTGTGCAGCCCGACAGGCTACTCCTGTCGCCCGCTTGGGTTCGAGCAGCCGCACACCGGAGCAGCGGCCTGTTCTGCGGCTTCTCGGCTCCACAGCCGAGCTCCTCCCGTGACCTCGGCTGCCAAGCCAGAAGCCTCCCCCCACCCTGGTGCCGCTTGGGATGCTCCAGAGGTCAGGGAGGGAGGGAGGTTGTGGTGCCCGGAGAGTCTCCCAGGCACGTCCGCGCAAAGGAGGCGCACGGTGGAACCGGCGTGGAATCGCGTGTCGGGAGGTGTGAGCCCGGCCTTTGCAAAATCACCTCCTGCTGATCTGCTAGTTTTAGGAGCCTGGCACTGTTGCTTTATTCTTTTGGCGTCAGGCAAAGAACTTTTTATTTCACCAATATTTTAGCAGCTAATTGGTTTTATCTTTGATGTTCGTTTGTTGTGTACAGTTATTTGTATAAGCTGTCCTGAGGCTTTTGCAAAGGATGGCATACGAATGTCTCAAATAAGAAATAAATAAATAAATAAATAAATAAATAAAATGTGGTTGCTTTTTTTTTTTTTTGGTAAGTCATCCAAAGACTTTATTATTGGATGGCATATAAAATTAAGTAATTGAATGACTATATGAATGAAATAAGATTGGAATTAACTGCTCCACCTTTCTGAGGCCTGATCCCCCTGCTTCTTTCTCGCTCTCTAAAGAACTTGCAGATGAACATTTCCACTTCCTGTGGGAGAAGAAGAGGCAGAGAGGGAAAACTCTGAAAGAAACCCTGGAGACGCTGGACGAGAGAGAAGTGCTTAAAACCGTCCTGATGTCCATTTACCAGTCTCTCCAGGTGAGTCTGGCTCTGGAACCCAGCGCTCTCTGGACTTCCGCAGGGTGGAGGAGACCGCAGGCGGGGAGGCGCGTGGGCCCTGGAGGGACGTGGGTCGGGTGGGAGGCCTCTGCAGGGACAGTGTCTGCCTGACCTCAAGGGTCCTGGCCTCCCTTAGAGCAGGGAGGGGCACCTGAGGATAGCCAAGGCACGTGGCGGACAGCCCCC